TGTCTACTACTCAACCCGATCATAACCACTGCACACACACTTGTCACACTACTTGTCAGTTGACTGAAAACCAATACCAAAACGCATATCCTGACCACGCACCTCCCACTCACACGTTCTCACACATTCTCCTCATCAATGCTCCCCAAGTCGGAGATCATCTGATTTTTAATCGTTCCTGGTGGGTTAACAAGATGACATACTCAGCAATGTTTCTTCCAGATAGTCTTGTCAGGGGAAATTGCTTACCGAACCTGGAATTATATTAGACAGCACGTTCATAACCGTCGGAACTTGTTCGGTACTGTTAACAAAATTACCTACATTTGTGCTGTCTCACAGTGAGTATCAAATAAACCGGTACATAAATTATCCAGCAGAACATTGTTTCAAATTGGGTGATCCATATATAGTTTCGCAAATCGTCCATCCATATTGAGAAACTGAATTTTTTCGAAATCTGAAATGGCGTGGCAAAAACACCACGAGATGTATTTTGTTGAGTACAAAACGATAGTTATAAACGAGATGAATCTAGGAATGCAACCTATTCGAGAAGTCTTAACACGGAATTCATCATAATCATTTCCTGCACGCAGCGTAGAATAAAGATAAATCTGGGACTGTCACAGTACAAAATAAATTGTTTACAAATACACCAGATGTGTTCCAATGAATTCACCATATGACATCACACGAAACACACGGACTGAGAAGAATTAAAAGACAACGCCCAGTGTCTTTATTTGATCAACACAGCTTCGTTGCTGACTAGAATTTTGGGATGTGTTTGAAGTAGCAACACTATGAACGACCGGTTTGTGAACGTTTTGATCTGTATTCAGGAGGGGTTTCGCAAATGATGACCGTCCGTTCGCTCGACAAACTGAATCAACCATTTTGGAAGGTGATCGGTCATTCGTTGACGTAACTACTGATCCGTTCTATCGATATAACTTCCACTGCAACTATAAGTGAACTGAAAAACGACACGTGAGACAGAACAGTTAAGTATATCACATCTGATGTTTTTACAAGTAACTGCCTGAATTGATGACAAGAAACAATTCAGCCGCAGAATATGCGCGATTCACAGCTGGCTGAAGCTGATGACGCAATATACTGGACAAATAAACTGGTCTGAATTGGAGTATTACACTACTCTTTGTGGAAGACTCATTTGAGTTAACAAATCCGTCAAAGGAGGTCGTTGCTGTTCTCCTACAGAGATTGCAAATTTTCTTTGTGATTTTATTTCAGTTCAGAATATTCAGTTGTCTCTTCCTCTTGATTACCTCAGGGATCTCGTTTTCTTATGTACAGAGAGCATTCCTTTTGAGTTCGAAAGAGTTGCTTTTGGGCAAATCGACGACGTAGCCATGGGCAACCCACTAGGCCCAACGTTAATGTACGTTCATTTTTGAAAAGATTGAAAAGCAGTCTTTCGATATTATTTTCATGAATACTTTGTAGAAAATGTTTGTCGATTATATCTTGATCTTTGTTAACAGTGACAGGTTTCTACCTTTTTAACCTTGAGCACCATCCACTTCTCGTGGTGGTGACCTTTTGATCCATAGTTCACCAACTTCCACTACTGTTGTTATCTGTCCTTGTTATGCCTTCTATTTATATTTGGTTTGCAGCCAATGAGATAAATGAAGTGCTAACATCCCGCAACGATTGTCCTGTTGCTGATTTGTTCAAGAGAACGTAGGGTTTTGAATCAAAAAGCAAGACGAAGCCAAAACTCGACTTTAGCTTTTTGGAAAGTCGTAATATCAGAACAGTCCTACTAGGTTCCCGTTTCTTAATTCTATCATAGTTACATTTTCGTGTGAAAACTGCTTTGAGTAACGGTATTTCTTTTGAAAGCGACCACATACTTGGCCACTTACTAGGATGATTAGCAGTGGTCATGAGATGGAAATTGTGTCTGACTGTAACAGTTAACTCAAGGTGAACAGAGTTCAGTTTATCGAAGTTAGTGATGGGAGACTAATATTAGAGGTTTACATCGCAAGTAAATTGAGAAGTCTAATTCACATTGACTATTTTATCTAGACATTTGAGTGGTGCCAATAACAATTATCTAATTGAGGCTATCATAGATATCTGTGTCAAGATACAGTTTAACAATAGGTGGAACATAGGAGATACAATTGCCTGAACTATGTGAGATGTCGACAGGTTATTGGAAAAAATCTTACCTTAGCCCAGGTAGGTCCTGAGTTGTGGTGTCAAAAGGTACACTGCCCTTATAAGACAACTCATTTCTGATGGATGGATCTTCACTAGAACACCAGCAACATACAAATGAGCGACGCATTGACAACAGTTTGAAACTCAGAAACCTCACTGTTAATCTGGCAGGAGATGCGTAGTCAAATGTAGCAACATCTTAAGTTGTATTGAGTCGGATGACCTGTGATAAATCTGAATCGCCTAAGCAAGTTCCCCGACGTTATCATTCGATGACACTAAACTTACAAAACTGTACTGTTTAAGTTAGAGGACTGAGTTATGCTGAGTAATTCCTGATCAGCTAAACTGAAAATAACGTGGAGGACAATGGTACGTAAATAGATTATTAAACATTGACACTGTATTCCACCATAAAGTACCTTTCGAAAGTACCGAGTTCCGTTACTCCATCTCGAATTTCCGGGGCGTCACATATAGAGTAACGATGTAGACCGATAATATTCCAGAGAAGTGTAAACAAAGGCAACTTGTTTGATCTCTTTAGTTGAGCCAATTTCCACCAAACAGATGATGGGCTGTATCTAGTGGGTTTCTTCTTGAAACTTCAAATTTTAGGCTAACTTTTTGCATTCAATCTAAATGACGTTGAAATAATTAGGCCGGTAGTCATAACACGAAGTTTCGGAGGGTTACTTTACAACGAAAAACTTATTTCCTGTTCTTCGTCGAATATGACCGTTTATTTGTACGACTGTTTTCGAAGACAGAAGAAATTTTGATTGAATTGCTGATATCCTGTTTCTAATGCAACCGTGTATTTTTGGCCGTTAACAGCTTTATATTCTTAATAGTTCAACTGTCTTAGGTCTATGGCCGTTTTGTTACACGATTATACTCCATCTGGTTTGCTGTATGTAAAGCGCTATAACCAACACTTCTTTTCGCGGTAGTCAGCAATATGAAACTTCATTCTTCATAGTGTGACATCTCAGTGTCAACTGCTACTCCGATTCGTTTCAGTGAAAGTCGATTCTGTACCTGTAATGTTGGCCGTCTTTCGAATATACCAGATGACTTTAACATTTAGATTGCATCACATTATATCATGTTGTAATCCGTGATAGCGCTAAAAAAGGACCACAGAAAATGTACCCCACTGTAAAACTGTCTATTCTAGGGAAGTTTCTGCTGGAGACGTGAGATTGTGTCCATGGTTAGGCGCCTTCCATTTCGGCTCTTTACCAAATCGCAGTTTACAAGTGGGAGCTCCCACGATCAGCCGTCTGTTGATACTAGCGCACGTGTTCAGCCAAGTGGTTCCCCACATAGTAGTTTTAACAGATTTCACTGATGTCTCTTCCAAGAAAACACGGTTGTGACATTCAATATCCTCCTAGCTCGGATTACTAGTCGGCATTTGACTTGTCGCGTGGCACACACAGTGTCGATAACGGCTAATCACAACAACAGAATAACACCAGCTGAATCATTTTGGTTGGCTTCGGCGTTCGAACTGAAATAAGTTTCTCTGTATCAGTCATTCCTTAGTCTCAAGCGGCATCAAACCCTTGGACATCAAAGTGCAAGCGCTGAA